TTTCATCCAACAGATGAAATCCAAAATTTGCTGGTCCCTCGTAATTATACAACATCAACTGCCATGGTATTCAGCAGTGGAGTATGGAAGAGTATTGTCCTTTACGCTAGTGCCTCCAATCATGAGAGTAAGAGTGTTGGCGAGAGGAGAGTGGACCTAGCTGAGACGCTCACAACGCGCAAACCAACATGTGGGTGTTTCGCAGACGAGTCGTGTGCACGGGAGAAAGGGAGTGAGCCAAGAATGTGGGGAGTGGTGGAATGGGTCGGTGGACAATTCTATTCCATGCCATCCACATATTCACCATCATCGGGAGGATTCTACAAGCACTCTTGTTGGGGTGGAATTTGGTCACTTGGAAAGACAAGCAACCAATGAACCAAGAACACTGGTAAGAACCTCGTGTTCCCATGAATCCGACCAACATGTCCTAACCGAGGAAACGCCGTCGTCGCTGTTGCTGTTGAGCTGAAGGCAACGCCTGACGTGCTGCACGGAACTCCATTCCTAGCAAATCCTAATGCTAGTAACCAAAGGAGTGGCAGGAGAAGTAATTCCAAGTGGCAGCAATGCTTACGTCCTGATGCACGATGGCTTTGAGGTGAATAAGCTGAGGGCAACCAGTCTCCGCTGAGCAGCTACCCTATCCCTCATCACAGAGTGACTTGTTGTGCATGCGTTATGCCTCAAAATCGGTCATGCCATGCTCATGCATCCACCATCCGTCCTATTCACTCACCATTTCGTCAATGTTCTCCTGGAAGAGGCTCAGTTTGCGTAAGAACGAGACCACAAGAACCACAAGGTCGTGGTTTTTGCGCTTCAGACAACGACATAGTAGTGCGACAATACCCTTCCGATGCATCTTCTCCTCCACTTCCACGTTTTCCGCAAGGTTTAACAGCAGATAGATGGCAACTGACAAAAAAAAGTTGAATCATGAGTTTTGCCAACAAGTAGTTGGTGAACAATGAGAACTAAGATAAATGCGAACAAGGTGAGGCCCAAGTCGTGAGTATTTGACAATTCGCCTTCCCTTACCTCAATCGATTGCATCAACGACGAGGGTCCAATCGCCTTGGCAAGTGAGGCATAGGAGAAGCGCGCCTGTTGCGCAAACACTTACAAGGAGGGGGGAGGGCAGAGGAAAACACTATTGCCTTGCAGTTTTAGCATTAGTAAAGGCTTCGGCTCTCTCCGCTTAGGCAGTCGCACTGTTACACCAAGGAGATTCAATAGCATCACGAATGCCTCAGAAACGCAAGAACATCGGATCGCCAAGACCCCGCTTGCAGAGCCTGCAATCTCAGTGGTCCACGTCAGACCTACACATGCACCCCACAACGGCCTTGACAGGCAAGTCATCCGTCAGACAGGGGGAATGTGGATAAAGATCGCTTGGCGGAGTATGGGTGAACCATGAAACAGAAGCTATTTCTTTTTCATTCACAACAGCACCAGCCAACTCCTACCTTCCTAAAATTCTCCTCAGACCTTTGCATTTGTTGCCTGTGCTGCTACTTTCTCAGTCAGCTTGTGCGATTGCAGTCACGTCGCATCAACCTGTTAGCTTCTTCGCCTCCTTGTTTGCCACGACACTACACTGTACGGGCACCTTTCTATGACAAATGAGCAAGTGACGTGAAACGGTGCGACCTCATTTCAGTCGACGAAACTACGTCTACTTAGAACTGCGGAGCATGCCATGGAAGTCGGGATAAGTGATTCGATAGCTGTCAAACTATTCACACATGGTTACAGTTGGCTCAGACTAACAAGAATTGCTCAGCGGCGTTCGCAATTCACCATGGCTATTAGGACGACAAGAGACTTCAGTCGACTCTCTTGCTATTTCATCGGCCCTTTTTGCAGCATCGTATGCTCCTTACGCTTGAATGCTTGAATCAATTATAACCGGGCGCTTATTCACGGTCCCCACCTCTAAGAAGTTGTTCCTGCTTCCTGATCCGATCCCCGCACCTTTCTGCATTCTGCTTGTACTCCAAGCAGTCCTCGCCCTGTGCGATCCGCAGTTGCCTGAGGTCCTCCATCCAACTCGCGTAGGTCTGGGTCTCACGTTCCAAAATGCTCATGCAAAGTAGCTGTTACAAGGTTTTAATGAAAAAAATTTCATTTGCTTACTTATTTAATATCGGACTCAATAACTGATGATAAGAACCGTCTGACTGCAAAAGCAGTTTTAGCACACACTTTAAAAAACAGAAAGTGTGACCACCAGTCTTTTTGACTTGTTATAGTGCAATTGGAACTCTTTTTTGTGCACATGCATATCCCTGCCCACTCATATCACCGTTAAGACCTAACACGCTCATACTCGCTGTCTAACGCATTGACTCCCTGCTTTATTCACTTTGCCACTTTAAAGGGCGAATACGGCACCTGAACTGCAGCCTTGGAATCACCATTCCCTCCTGCTGCCTGCTCAGCCTTTAGTGCTGTTCGGCGTGCTAAAGGCTAGTCGGTGTAAAGTAACCATCTGATTTGTCTGTTATGAGAGGTCAATTCGCATAACAGAAGCTATGCTGCGATAACAAATAGTTACAGCTATTCAAACAACAGGTCATCGGGCGTTGCAATTATTCATCCGGTGAAAGCCTTGCCCACTTCACTTTCGACTTTTGGTCCAGCGCGCAGAGTGAAACCTTATTTCCCATTCCACTTGACCATAAAATGAAAGCTTTTTCCATTAATGTATTTTAATTGGTTCAGTGCTAGTTTAAATGGCAACCGACAACTCGCACAGCCGATCGTAACAATGAAGAAGGACTGCAAAGCAGCTGATTCGATGACAACTTTGGAGTTGAGTGGCACACCTACTGCTTGGCTTTGACCTCCTGTTTCTTCTTTCGCAGACGTCTCTTAGCCAGCCACAGCCTCTTTTGAAGACGAACGTTATTGAAGAGCCACCGAATGTCGCGATGTAGGGTTGTCAGGTCAAGCAGCAGCAGAGACACCAGGAAGATGACGATGATGCCAATGACAACGGCCCCCACTTGGTTAGCCGAGGGGGCCTCTATCGCCGGTGGAACATAGCGACCCGTAGAACTTGTGGTCACGTTTTTGTCCACAGCTGTGGTAGTTTAAATAAGAAAATCCTTTCTCAATGTTTTTATTGTTGGCAAATTCTGTTCAAAACGCCCTATTTTAAAAAGATGTCTATGCAAGTTGGTTGGAACCTTTTACTCCCAAACATTCGCACCTCCGCCTTGGTGTCAGGTTGTAAACTTTATCTGTCATAAGACAACTGTCCTTCTACGTCAATACGTTAGTGTTAAAGAAGACTCGAGGAGATGGGAAGCTTGGCTGAAAAATCCGCGTATCGCCTATTTCTCTATAATTCACCCCGTTTTCTTGCTAATCACTACATGAGTTTAAAACTGTTTGCGAATTTAAAATCTCTGAGCTACCTTTGGCTGATGGCACAGAATTGGAGCGATGCGTTAGACACTTACATATGCAACCGTAAATTTGCGGTCTCCATCGCCCAATTTGACCGCAGCTGATGTTCTGATCCGGTGTTTTGGTCACCGTTTCGTAACCCTCCTGACAGAGGTACCTAATTGTCGTCAGATAAGGATAGGGCACCGGCTTTAGTTTCCTCCACTTCTGCATTGTTCCATTTGCAAAGCTAATAGTGAAGTCGGGCTGTATGTTGTAAGCCTTTTTCACTCGCACATCCTCGTACATGCATGTGACTGCTAGAAAAAAATACCACTGATGGGAAGTGCAGCTGTTGATTTAATCAAATGATGGTTGCTAACCGCAGCTTCAAATAAATCGCCTAAGTTTTAATTTCAATTCAACACGTCCGCCATAAGCAAGTGTCTTATAACTGCAAAGTAAGCAAGAAAAATGTACAGCCATTGACTGGTGTGCACGATCCTTGTAGTCGTCACCTTATTTGTAGCCCTTTGTAACATGGTTTTAGCTGCGGGTAATTGATCTGCCTACACTCCGAAAGCAAAACCAAATCCCTCTGCAAAAGATTTTGTTGTCGATTATAAATTGTACTTATGATGCAAGTATAGGCGTAAAGTAGGATTTCAATAAAGTATAAAATGCGAAGATACTAACCGTGTTTTTTGACAAACTCCTCCGAAAATGGAAGACAGTCTCATGTGTCTCTAATGTTACCTCATGCTGCAATGAATTGTTGTGGTAATCGACATCAAAATCGCACTTATTTTTGGACTATCGCATAGTAGCTTACAAACTTACGCTGGCAGGAGTTGGGCAGAGGCAGCAGTGTTCCACTGTATCCTCTCCATTCACCAACATTACTTACTCCCTCCTTGAGGGCGCACTCGACGTACTTCTCAAAGCTACGATCTGGATAGAAGTACGACTCGAAGCATCTGTAGGTGACCACATTGCCGTACTGATTGAACTGATTTACCTGAAGAGGACCGAATTCCTCTTCCGTTAACCGACTTCGAGCACCGGACAGGGACGCATATTGCGGAACCATGGCATTCATCTCCGTCACATTGCAGCGGATGGCTAAAATGATGTATTGAAGGCATTGTCAGTAGGAGGCGAATGCTGAGTGCTCCAGTAATGAGAGGCCAAAGTGTAGCCCGCTCTGTAATAGGTACTTGTAGCAGGTCAGATGCAAGTAGCGTAGCTCCTTCCTTAGCTTGTGTAGTTTGTCTACGTCGAAACTCCGATTCGCTCCCATCTACACACTGTCTTTGCTTCCTTCACGTCACATCTCCAATCACCTCATGTAAACTCACGTTTGGTCGAGTAGTTTCCGAGCCAAAACACTAACTCTTACAGTTCCACGATCACTCTTGGCGTTGAACGATTCAAGGTCGTCTTGTTGAAGTGCGCCCATGTTAATCTTGCGAGAATAACTGCAATGTAGTGCCACACTCTTTGATCCTTCATTTTACGCCTACGAACATTCAAACGCCACCTCTTATGAATTGGGTCTCTATTTTCATGTGAGCCCCTATAAACACCTTTTCTAAATTCAGTAATATCGCATAGGTTGAATTTTCACCCAACGCTTTGGCCATTTATGGATGGCATCGCATCTCAACCCGTATTGTGCACAGAGTTCTAATTCGAAGTTGATTGCTTATCACCGTCATGCTTTTTTTGAACGCCGAATGCAATGCTTCGAGTAAGAATTCTGAGTGCACCTAATAGTTTTGTTTCATGTTACTCACACAATGTGCTAATGCCATAATGTTTGGCGCTTCGCTAGTTGAGTAAAGCACAAAATTAGTAGCATGTACGTGATTGGCGGTTCCAAAAGAAGCCAGCTTTCTTCATCTCAGAGCAGTGCTGCTACTTGGAAAATTTGAAATTGTAAAGTTAAATGCTTTTTCCTAATTAATTGTGCACAGTTCGCCTGCAGTTCTCCTTAAAGCACCCGTAAGTAGGGGCAGTTTCTTTGCGTGGAAGCCCAATTTCTTCAGAAGTTCTTAGCTTTAGTGACTTCAATCAAGTCTAATTAGCGAGGATAATGCAAGACATTTTCGCATTTGGCGCTGATGAGGAAGATTTGACCTGGGCGAACACAATTACGCCACGCCTTTCCTACATTGCCGTACAGGAAATAAACTGGAGGGTTCATTCATTTGCGTTTGGGGTGAAGCATCGGGTTCCACTTAAACGTAAGCCTTCATCTATTTGTCAATGCAATGTTCGTTGTGTTTGCTCTCATTCTCCAACCTCTTGTTTATTGTTTGGGGCGCAGTAAGGCAATCACTGCACCACTTTACCAACAATTTCTCATCTTTCGTATCGTGAAAGGGTGCAACGACTTGGCCATAGCTGCCACGGAACGCAAATACCATGGTAGTCTGTGGACGTGGACACAATTTGTCTGCTTTCGAGGCGCATATGAGTGCTCGGTTGTCATCTACGGACCGCGTGCATTCACAAGCTGGACGCTGCTGATATTCAAGCTAATGAGGTTTGGACTGGTGCGTGGGAACCAGGCAGGTATTCAGGTGTTAAAAGACTGTAGATGAGTGC